GTAAGTAAGTAGGGTTTCGAGACTACCAGTAAATCAGTGTAATGAGATGTATTTACCCTATTTCGTCTAAAGTGATGACATCTCATTATACTTTCATTTCGTTTGAAGAGGCGAGTGGAAGGGATTCGTAAGTTAGCCTCAGCGGAAGCTGTAGCATGATTGGTTTTCGATTTGTGCAACCGGTGTTGCAGGATTTCATTGGGATAGCAGGTCGGTGCGCCGAGGACTCATTCGTACAAATCTCCAATCACAGCTCTAAGGCCATCACCCTACAGCCTCAGCTGAGACCAACTTACGAATCGCTTCCACCCGCCTTTTTAAACGAAATGAAGGGTACCCCAACATGAACCTCACTTAGCCTTGATTCGAAAATCTATTCAAATCCAGGTTGGACGGCAGCTTTGATCCCATTTCGGCCTTATTCAAGATCTGCTGGTGGTCTCGAACTCCAACTTAATTCAACTGCAAGCAGCACTGTCAAGTGAGTAATTCACTTCTAACCTGCGGCCGAATGGTACTGGGGGCAGTGTGACTTAGTGCTAGCAGGTTGAGATTATACGCTGTACCACTCGAGCTCATTCCCATTTTGAGGCTGCTGATAAGACCCAGATGAGGTCGGAACTCCAGTCCAGCTTGGACGAAAATACCGTTTGGAAGTATGGTTAAATGGATTTTCATAGAATCGTCACGACTACTCATCTCATTGTGGGAAAATTCCCTATCCACAAGCATCTTAAGTGAAACAGGCTGACTAAAGCACTTATTAACAATGCATTGATAATCCCGAAATCCTACTTGATTCGAACACAGTTAAAGGCACATATAAATTTAGGACTAGCTCAAGGTTTCAGTACACTGACTCATGTTGTATGGTTTTTAAGTCGGTTCTGCAGGCTCTGGCAGACATGTCAAAAGTGGGATTGAGAAAACTCTATCATGCGGAAGGTTACGACTTATATAGTCGTGGGATAACGCCATACCAATTGGAGTTGTGCCGGTGGAGTAGACACGATGAGGAAAAAAGGCGTTGGAGGCATAGACGATAAGGTTATAGCAAAGGCTGAGAGAGGCTGGCCTACGTCTTGTTGGAGGAAGTGAAGTATCAAAGTACGCACACACAAATGTACACATATGCATACATACATTCATACAAACATGGATGCATTGCTCCATACATACAAACACACACACGCACACAAACATACGTGCATACATACATACAAGCATATCTGTACCTAAACATACATATATACACATATATAAACATACATACAAACATGAATGCATGGTTCCATACAAACATCCACACACATACATACATGCATACAAACAAATATACATGGATATAAACACACACCCAAATACATACTTACGTATGTACATACAAACATACATTCATATATACACACAAACAAACATACATACAAACATACATGCATACAAACACATAAATACATACATTTAAACATACATGCATTCATGAAAACGGGCATACATAACGGTAATACGGATACTGGGATGCATGCATATTACACCTAGACATACATGTACACACATATGCATACACACAGCTTTGCGTAGTGATAATAAAATGTAGTTACTCGAGATATGTCAAGCGTTTGATTCGTATGATCGAAGTCCTATTCACAAAGAGACCAGGACCCATCGTAAAGGTTGGTCTCGTCTGTTCAGATCGAGGAAGGGAGTGGGGCTAGAGACCAATGTCTGTCTATTATCCCGAGTCTGGACTGGGTGAATCGGAGCAAACATGGTAGAAAGGACCGACAGAGTGTGATCAACTGCTGTCAAGTCTGGTGTGGAGTGGAAATATGCTCAAACAGACGAGAATGGCAGAAGGAAAAAGGCGATTGATGCGTGTTGTGTGTAATATGTAGCGAATGCGCACTAAAGACGACTGACACTGCATTCGTACATGACCAGTACACAAAATACTCACAAGCAACCACCTTGACGCTTTGGAAAAGCCTCATAACTGGCGATTGCGGTCTCGTCGACCTACATCCGATGCCGGTGGAAAATACGGCCAACGTGTACAGATCAGGTAGTCGAGATGACAGTCTCCGAGTTGGCTCTGAGTAGACATAGCAATGTTGCCAGAAAGATACCAAATTCTGATTGTGGTGGAAAATGCGTTAAATTCGTCACGACAGCCTGATTGGTGCCGCCAACTCACTTAGGCATTGGGATTCCGACGTATTTTATGCAAAGAAAAATTGGGTTTTGAAAGGTCTCTTGATTCACAATTGTTGAACTAACTTCCATTTCGAGGGTAAGTGTGTCTGATGAGGGGATTCCACGGTCGATCCCAACAGACGGTCACGGACGATTCCGATGAATACGTACCCAGCTTTCGTCTGTCGTCTTAAGGACATCATCAGAGCAGAGCATCATCTTACAACCATAGTCAAGATAAAGAACCAAGAAATCTCATCGTTTTAATCCTAAATGCCGTAAATATAATCTTTAAGCCTATGCATTAGCATGAGGTATAAATTGTTTTGGTTAGTTCAAGTTGTATGGAAACCGGATGAATATGCGTTTGTATTTTTTGTGTGCGTGCTTATAGACACTCATGTGAGTTTACGTGTACACAAAGTAAGTAGAGCAGAACGAAACATTTGTTCTCGGTTATCAGGGTTTTATAAGCCTCAATCCTCTTTTGTACTTTTTACTATCAATCTGATTGCCTATAATCGGACAGACGTCTGCTTAAGCTGAGCTTTCTGTGTGTGTGTGTGTGTGTGTGTGGATGTGCAAAAAGGAGAGCGAGTGAATAAAGGCGCATAGATGATGCGGTCGTACACAAAAGTGTGACCATCAAACTATGGTTTGAGTCACTATCGTTTTTCAGGAGGCTCAACACCCTTTCTGCCCTTAAGGCTAGCAATTAAACAAAAGTGGTTCTTACTTAAATTCCTACATGTGGTCCTCAAACCTAATATATTGCCAGATTTATTGATGAAATGGCCTATAATTGTTCGTTCATCTTCAGACAAATTATAATCAGCAAAAAGGTAATTTTGAGCATGGTTTTTGCCATTTGTTCAGGCACTCTCGCTTTATAAGCAAGGCAACTTCTACAGGCAATTCTGTCTTCACACCACCCCCTTTCGATTGGGTTTCGAAGGTTATTCAACCAAAATATGAGATGCCTAAGTGGAACAAATTGGGCTATAAGAAGTAGGTAGATTTGAAGCCGGCCACCTTTCTTGCTTTCGTGTTTTTGGTAAATTATTGTTAAGCCTATATGAAGACCAAGATGTTGTGGCCTCTGGTGTGGTCGCAGTCTCCTTTCGATTGATCAAGGTAGAGGACCCGTGAAGGGAGGGCCTGATATCAGCAAGCATTGCAATCAGGGCTTAGGCGCTCTGCTCGGTGAGGCGGCAGCGTGTGTGCTTCTAGGTCCTTGAGAAATAGGGCCTGGAGCGAAATGCACACAGGGACTGGAACCGAATGGAATCGGTCAACCAGAAAGATAAGGAACGGATCCACAAGACAATGAAGGGATCCGGATTGGAGGCCCGAGTCGGGTAAGCCGATAGAAAGAGAGGGGTCGGGGAAGATAGCAAGTGTGATGGGGCCACACTAGAATTGCCACAAAATGGCACACATTTTGAAGGCTGGAATGTAAGAAAGAGTGAAGTTTGTGATAGGGCGTCAATGGGATAAGAGGTTAAAGAGAAGATAGATAGGCCAAAACAGAAAGAGGAGTGATAGTGTAACCGTTTTCAGCAGAACGTTTGTCGAGGGATCGGA